GAGAGTATTGCTTACTGCACCATTGGAGTATATCTTTTACTTTTTCATGCTAATGATACCTGATGGAGAAGAGTAAGGAAGTTTATGAAGTCTATGATGTTTACATGGCGGAACCACAATTGGAGATTTAACAAGCAATACATGCCAACCATGAGAGCAAGAGGCATGTGGGTCTGTTGAGTGCATACCTAAAAGGGAAGGCTGTTTCACGTGGTGATTTTGGTTTGGGATGCCAAGTAACAGGAAGATTAAAAAACTGGAAGTGACATTCACATGATAATAATGGACTTTATTATTTCACAGCAGTGGATTGATTTACATTATATGATTGTTAAGTTATGGTTTTGTTTCACTATTCACAATATCACCGTAGAAGGTGTTTTGTGTATTAGTTGCTCACAGCGCCACTATACAATGTTTGTTTTTATTTTCCATTATTTTATTCAAAGTGGCAGCAGTGTTTGATATTCACTTATCATTGTTAATTATCACAAAAGGGAGATCATTTTATTTATAGGTTATATTTGAGCACTCATACAGTTCAGGGTTTTTATTATTAACTGCACCACTTATAACTGACCCTTTGATCACTGCACCACATATTACTGACCTATGAACTCTGCATCACTAACTACTGAACTTTGAACATTGTGCCACTTATTACTGACCTCTGAACTCTGCATCAATTACTAACAATGCAGAGTTCAGGGGTCAGGAGTCATTGATACAGTATTCAGAGGTCAGTGGTAAGTGATGCAGAGTTTATAGGTAATTGGTGAAACAAAGTGCAGTAATAAGTGGCCCTCTATCTCAAAGTACAGTCAAACAGACCCATTCTGCATAATAAGTGGCACAAGTGGAACCATGTTCTCCCTCTTCCTGGACTCATCATGGTACTATCTCCAGTTACAGCCCTGCTCCACAGCATCCTCCCTGTTAGGGATCCGGGTATGACCAGAAATGTGTGGGAACACAGGTGTAGTCAGGGCTGGAGAGGTGGAATGGTCAGGCAGGCCGTTTGGTACTGTTAAGCACCGCCTGGCGGTGTCTCTAGCAGCCCACAGCACGGGGTTCCTCAGGGCGCGGGGTCTAAGTCCCAATCTGCTTATTCACCAGGGCCCCTGATGGTGGGGATGGACTTGGAGCAGACTGAGACCAGGTCGCGACCCCTGAGTACGCCCGGCAATGGTAGAGAGCATTGTCAGAGGTGTGCGGGGAAAGGAGCCTGACGTGAAGAGGCTGGCAGACCTGGTAACAGGGACAGATCCGTGCGAGATGGATGGATCATCTGGGTAGCGTAAGGCGTAGTCAGGCAGGCCAGGTCAGCAACGTGCAGGCAACGAGGTACCGGAGGAGCAGGCAGAGAATGGTCAGGGTCACAAGCCGGGTTCAGTAACTCACGGGCAGCACGGTACAGAGGATCAGGCAGAAAGATGGTCAGGCAAGCCAGGGGTTAAACAGGAGACGGTCAGCAGGGTCAGGAACAATGCAGAGGTTGGCAACAGAAGATTCACAGGATACCAGGTACAGGGGCTCATGGGAAACAAACACCAAGGTATTGATTGCAGGCCTGGTCCTGCTTAAATAGACCTCCTGCAATCAGCCTCAGGTGATGGCTTGATTGCAGGAGTGAGACCCTAGCTGCTGAAAGCACCCTCTGGTAGGAGCTGGTACTGCAGCCCACAGTGCAAGTGAGCCACAGCACCACCAATGGTGAGTCCATTCCTGACACTTCCCCCGCCAGCCTTTAGCCCCCAACCTTTCCCCTGACGTAAACAGATCCACAATGGATCTCAACACTGCTGTTGCTGCATGTGACAAGTACAGCTGAGACACAAAAGGGGAAACAGAATGGTGTTTCCTCACACTTTGAGTTGTGCATTGTGTGGTGGCACAATGGGCCCCACCCCCCTTGGGCCCTGTGTGCCCAGCACACACTGCACCCATAGAGGATAAACGATGGCACCCCCTCCATTCATAGATCACGTTTTATTCATAGAAGCTATGGAATGGATTCTATACGTGGAGGAGCTGGGCAGAAAAGTTAGGCATAGTTGCGCATAGTCTTGATTAGTGCTTGACACAGCTCCCTCATTTCTCTTAACCCCTTCCGCACTGGAAGATTATTGGAGGGGGGAGGTCAGAGGATGAGGATTTCAAGGAATCCAAGAACCAGTAGCATAAGGGGCACATCAAATTAATAGAAAGTAATATCCTTGTGCTGATTTTTGTTTTTAAATACAAGTGTGCTGTCTCTACCCCTTATATGAGTATTAAAATTGCATGGTGTTTATATTTCTATGCTTTGTTTATTGTCATCCTGGTTGCGATTTTTACTACACCTATTTTTCTGTGTATCCACCCCTTTCTGTGATGTAACTTATTACAGTAACAATACCAGCCCATACTAGAACCCCACCTCCACCTTGTTAGCGTCTGAGTCGAAGTGGAGCTTTGTGCCCATTACTGATCCAGCCAAAGGTCCATTCATCTGGTCCATTAAGAGTCACTCTCATCTCATCAGTCCATAAAACCTTTGAAAAATCAGTCTTCAGATATTTCTTTGACGTTTCATCGTACGTGTCTTGTTCAGTGGTGGTCGGGTTTCAGCTCTCTTTGCCTTGGCCATGTCTCTGAGCACTGAACACCTTGTACTTCTGGGCACTTCAGGTAGGTTTCAGTTATGGAATATGATTGTACTTCAGGACAATGGGTTCCTGGTAACTTCACATTTGATTCTTTTCAAATCTTTGGCAGTTAATTCGCATCTTTTTCTTCTCAACATGTTTCTTGCGACCCTGTTAACTATTTGCAACAAAACGCGTGATGTTTTGTGATCATGCCCCAATGTCTTAGCAATTTCAAGAGTGCTGCATCCCTCTGAAAGAATTTTTACAATTTTTGACTTTTATGGTGGTTTTTTTTTGTTGTTTTTTTTTTTAGTCCGGGGAGGTGCAAAAAAACTAAAAACCCATAAGTGAACAAAAAACCATGCAAGTGCAAAGCACAAACACAAAAACATGCACTTAGGGGTGTGCCTTTGTCCACCCCCCGAAGGGGTAGGAACTGTACCCTGATCCCCTGGGGCACAAGGCTCCTAACAGGATAAAAAGGGTTTCCAACATGGTCCACCTAGCCATGGCTTGCCAAAGACGACCACCAAGTACTAGGTCAGGGAGCTCTCCCAAAGAGAGACCCCCAGGAACAGGGGAGTAAGGAACCTAATGGCCACACATACTCTCTCTAGACTTCAGGGCAGGCCCGAGGACCCACACCCTCCATCCAAGTGAGAGAAAAAACACACGCAAAAGTGAAAGGTATTGATCTGCTTAGGCCACACCCTCCCTCATTCCACAAATACATATCACCTGATATGCTTAAATCCAATACAGCTTGGAGTTGAACAATATGCATAAAAATGAGGATTTGGTCAAAAAACTCACTTGCCTAATATTTTATCAACACTTTCCCCGATGTAAAGAAATCTTAACATCGCTCACTTGTTCTAGCATCTTTTATTTGCTATGGGCACTCAGTCGGACCTCTTTGTGAAAATTATTATGCGTTTATGTTATGGCTGTAAAAACTCTTCAGTTAAAAGCGTATTACCATAACAGTATTCTTCCCAGTGTCTTAACTATCATCAAATGTCATTACTGAGGCATATATCATGTCAATGCAGCTTCCATCGCCTTTAGTTCAGTGTGATCATGAATAAACCGATGAGAGCTGCCACATCTGTAGCATTCCTGCAAAGAATAATGGGCCAGATCTTGCAATTTCCAAAAAAGAAAATCAAAGCCACCCACCCCTTCTTTGCTGATTGTCTCAAAAAATAGCATGAGCCAAGTCACTATAAGGCTGTCTCCCAACTTCAAATAAACAATGTTCATGACTTGATTTGTTTACCTGATACACACTCCCTAAAGTTGTGTCTGTTCTTTCTGAAGCTTCATTTGCACAAGCAGTTCAAGCTGAGAGGACTCCATGTAGCTTATCATGTGGATGACAGTTTAAACAGGCCTTATCACAGTGCAGTCAATCAAGGTTTATGAGGAATGATAAAGATGTCACCTAGTTTCTACATGAATTTATCCATTGCTCTTTCACCAATCAATGGAAAACATGCACACATTCAATAACTTAGAAAATAGCATGCCATTGTATCGGATCATTGGAAGTAAATGAAGGTTGAGTGAACAATATGAAACCCAGCACAGCAATTGCACTTAGAATATCACTTTCACTTTGTCTACTATCTGTTGTTATCATTGTTTATTTAATAATTCTATAAATGTCTCCTAACTTTATTTCATATGACAGTAAACTAGATAGTGTTTTGTTTGAGATACCATGGTTGCAATATAAGCTGCACAATATAAGCTGCTTTATGGGATCTTAATGTAAAGAAAGGAAATGTCATTCTGCTTTTAGTGCAACTCCAATTCCAAAAAAGTTGGGACGCTAAGTAAAATATACATTCAAAAACAGAATGCAATGATTTGCAAATCTCATAAACCCATATTTTTTTCACAATAGGAAACAGAAAACATATCAAATGTTTAAACTGAGAAAATGTACCATTTAACTACTTGGCAACTGCGCTATAGCCGAATGACGCCTACAGCAAGGTTGTACAGTCCTGGAAGGGCGTCATATGATGTCCTCCCAGAATGTGCCCTCCCGTGCGCCCTCAGTGGCGCGCACCCATCAATCTCCGTGATCGCTGTGTCCTACGGAAACAGCTGATCATGTGATGTGGTAAAAGGCCAATCACAACAGCCTTTTACCATGTGATCAGCTGTGCCCAATGACAGAGCAGATCACTGGGTAAATGCAGTTGCTGGTTATCAGCTGCACTTTCCTCACGTTGTCACAACATGAGGAAATTACTGCCGATAAACGGCAATTGTCAGAAAACAGATCGGCACTGATGATCAGTGCCCAGCAGTACCACCCACCAGTGCCACCCACCTGTGCCCAGCAGTGCCACCCACAAGTGTCAAGCAGTGCCACCCACCTATGCCTATCAGTGCCCAGCAGTGCCACCCATCTGTGCCCAGCAATGCCACCCACCAGTGCGCAGAAGTGCCCCCCATCAGTGCTGCCCAGCAGTGCCACCCATCAGTGCTGCCAGTCAGTGCCTAGCAGTGCCACCAGTCAGTGCCGTCAGTCAGTGCCCATCATTGCTGCATATCAGGTCAGCATCATCAGTGCCAGCTCATCACTGCCGCCTATCAGTGAAGCCTCATCAATGCACATCAGTGAAGGAGAAAAATTACCTGTTTGCAACATTTTTTTGTTTATAGAGCAAAAAATAAAACACCCAGCGGTGATTAAATACCACCAAAAGAAAGCTCTATTTGTGCGAAAAATATGATAAAAATTTCATATGGGTACAGTGTTGCATGACGGTACAGTTGTCATTCAAAGTGCAACAGTGCTGAAAGCTGAAAATTGGACTGGGTCAGGAAGGGGGTAGAAGTGCCCAGTAGGCAAGTGGTTAATACAAATATAATTTTTTGAGATTGATAGCAGCAACACATCTCAAATATTGGGACAGGGCCATGTTCACCATTGTGTAGCACCCCCTCTTCTTTAACAACACTCTGTAAATGTCTAGAACTAAGGAGACCAGATGCTGGAGTTTTGGAAAAGGAATCTTGTCCCATTCTTGAATGATATAGGATTCGAACTGCTCAACTGTCCTGGGTCGTCTTTGTTGTTTTTTTTTTTTTCATTTTAAAACAAGTCAAATATTTTCAGTTGGTGAAAGGTCTGGACTGCAGGCAGGACAGTTAAGCACATGGACTCTTCTACTATGAAGTTATGCTGTTGTTATAGAAGCAGAATGTGGTTTAGCATTGTTCTGCTGAAACATGCAAGGCCTTCCCTGAAAACGATGTCATCTGGATAGGAGTATATGCTGCTCTAAAACCTGGATATATCTTTCAGCATTGATGGTGCCTTTACAAATGTGCAAGCTGCCCATTCCATATGCACTAATGTTACCATACCATCAGAGCTGCAGGCTTTTGAACTGAGGGCTGATAACAAGCCTGAAGGTCCCTCTCCTCCCAAGAATGTGGCACCCATGGTTGCCAAAAAGAATGTCAAATTTAGATTCTACTGACCACAGAACAGTTTTCCACTTTGCAACAGACCATTTTAAATGAGCCTTGGCACAGAGAAAATGGCTACATTTCTGGATCATGTACAGATATGGTCACAGGAGTAGAAAAAAAAAACATACATACATACAAGTAATAAAAACTAAATAATTAAAGGATTAAATAAATTTCTGGGTTTTTTTTTTAACATGCTGTGGCCAGTAAGTGTCCCTGTTCACTGCCACACCAGTTATATGATGACACTGTACTGCATTAATGACATTTAAAAGAAACAAAAATTGTGAACATTTTTTTTTCATTTCTTAATTTTCCACAAAATTATGGCAAAAAACTCGCTATGCCTCTTACTAAATACCTCAGACTGTCAACTTTCTGAAAAGAGGTCATTTAGGGGGTACTTGCACTGTCCTGGCATTTTTGGGCCTCAAGAAATGAGAACCCAATGGAATAAATGGAAAATGCCTGAAAAGTGCCTTAAAAGCACCTCAAAAACGCCTCTGAGAAGTGTTTTTGGTGCAGTTTTTAAGTAAAAAACCGCGGCAGAAGCGCAGTAAAAATGCCTATGCGTTTTTGCTGTGTTTTTGTTGCGGATCAGTGTGAAAGTAGCCTAAAATGTTTTTTTAATACCCAATCATGTTACTGAGCTGTGGCAAATTAACCTAATTAGTTGCAAAATGTTCTTCCAGCTTTTCCTTGTTGGTACCAAACACTTTGCCAGATATTTGTTGCCCTGTCCAAACTTTTGGAGACCTGTTACTGCCATCAATTTCAAATTACCTTATTTTTTTCTGTAAATCTCAGTTTAAACATTTGATACGTTTTATATTTTCTAATAAGATATGGGTTTATGAGATTTGCAAATTATTGCATTCTGTTTTTATGTCTATTTTACACAGGGTCCCAAACTTTTTGAGAATTGGGGTTGTATTATAAATGGGGGTATTTAAATTTTGATAATACAGATTTATTTTTATTTATTTTCAGGTACTTATATAGCGCCATCAATTTACGCAGCGCTTTACCTATATTTTGTACATTCACATCAGTCAACGATAAGGTTACAACCCATTCTGGGAAGTATAATGTTCTTATGATGTGTTACCTTATAATAACATTGACAGCAATTGCCATTTTATTGGTAGCACTACTATGGCATGCTGGCTGAATTGAGGGCATAGATGTATAGTTTTTGGACTGTGTTGTTTGGTAGCAAGAGGCCTGCAGGGGATTAAAATATAGTATTATATTTCTTACAACAGGCAGTTCTGGCTGGGTCCCACACTCACACGAATGGGATTATAGCAGTGAACTGTAATAATACATAGCCAAATGCGGCAATATGCAGTCATTCATAGTACACTGACAATTCTGGGTAAAATGTAGGTAACACACAGACAATAGTGGCAAGATGACTGCAACACACTGGCAACTGGTGAGCAATAAATGTAGATAACAATTCCAGAGGGTTCCCAGGCCTGGCGATATGTAGTAATGAGAATCTGTAAGAACAGAAATATGGTACCTGCCATTGCTCTGTTGGTTTTTCCAGACTGCTGTGCTGTCTTCTTAATTCTATTTTCCTAAAAAATAATTAACTGATTTGGAAAAAGTGTTCCATCAGCGAAGTTTAAAAAGTCTAAATTCCACTCCTGAAGCCAGCATCTGTATTATAGAAGCATTCACCTTTAAAATCAAGGTATTAATCAACAGTTGATGGCAGACATCAATGCCACTGCCCCCTAAAAGAAATGTCTATATATTTATAGGGGCTGCCCAGCTAAGTTTTACAAAATTTGGGACAGATGATTAGCCTGGGGCTTTATCTGCAAAGGTCCCAAGTAACAGTACCAACCCTTTCTGTATGGGACAAAGTTAAAGTATACGTAAACTCTCACCTTGTAAAACAACCCTTTCTGTTTTAAATAGAAATGAAAGGCGAAGCCTTTGTGTATGCTTCTAAAAAACCTTATAAATACCTTTCCTACTTTTTTTTATAAGTGATCACATACCCTCTGTTCTCAGCTGCATAAGGAGCTCAGAGAGCTGGAGGAGAAGCAGCAGCACACTGATCTTCCCAGTGAATGGCTGTGCAGGAAGTCTGATTATTGGAGGAGAGCAGGTTATCCTCCCAGTACAACTAGAAAACTGACCACGCTGTGCTCTCCTGCCTAGTGTGATCAGTTTTTATTAGGAGATCGGGGTACTGGCAGGAACACCAGGGATTCACACAAAGGAAGCAACGCAAAGAGAACAGGATATTGTTTCATACAAGTACATGGTATAGCAGGCACATACCAGGAATATGAAATGTTGGGTTGACATATTCTTTAATGCCCATGTTCTGCAATTCCCATGCTCCTTTACAACTCAATTACTTGTTTTAAGGGTCAGAACCCTAAATCTAGAAAAGGGCTGTGATGGTCTTTGGTGGTGGACTGTATGAAATTTCTTTGAATGAATTTTCCTTCTCCTTGATTCCTCCTTGTTCCTTATTGTGTTGACTGTATCTACTTATCTACAAGTGGTTGTAAAGGCTCTGAAGGTAAAAAACATTTTGCGTGCTTAAGCCCCCCCAGTACTTACATGTGCCCTATCGCAATCCACTGATGTGCATGAGAGCCTCGGCTCTCTGGGAACTCTACCTTAACATTGGTTGAGATCTCAGTGTGAGCCAATGAGGAGAGAAAGGGGGGGGGGCGGAGCTGAGCCGGGGCTCTGTGTGTGAATGGACACACAGAGCAGTGGCTCGGGAGCAAGCCTGCATGGGTGCCCCTATAGCAAGTTGCTTGCTCTGGGAGCATTAGGCAGGAGGGAGGGTCCCGGAGTGCCAGTGGGAGACCCAAGAAGAGGAGGATTGAGGCTGCTCTGTGCAAAACCACTGCACAATGCAGGTAAGTATGACATGTTTGTTATTTTTCCTTGATGTCACTTTAATGTTGAGCCTTTTGTGTACGGCACATTTGTTCACAAATTAACTATTAGTGGCCTGCAATCTGTAATGGTGTGTAATTAATATCTCCAGTGTATTCTTTATTGTAACATCCTATCCCTTTGTACTTGTATATTATGTTTATGTAGCTGCACTAAACCTTTTGTTATGATCAAGAAATAAAATTAGATTAAAACGGAGTGCCACTCTTTTTTTTTTTTAAAGCACCTCTGTTACAGTCGCAGCTTATGCCTTGCAAATTGGCATAGGCTGCATATGCAATCATTTGTCTTCCTTGTTTTTTAAAGATACTCACTGGCCTCTCACGATTCTGTATTCTTCCATCTTCACTTTGGGCATCTTAAGCCCGGCCGCACTTTCTTTTGGGATTGAGTTCTGGGATTGATGACACATATATCCCAGGAACCAACGAGCGAGAGGATGTGATGTACCTCGCCGTAGCGAGGTACATCGGAAGTGCATTGCTTCAGCCAGCCTAAAGCTATGAAAACTTTGGGAGAAAAACAAATGTGCCAAACATTGATAGGACAGCAGGAAGCAATAAATGGAGTCACTTTTTAAAAATCGGGTGGAACTCCACTTTAACAATGACAGCTTTCATATTTCTATCCCCAAAGATTTACTTTAAAGGAAGCTTGACTGATCAAAGTCTTTACTGTCTTTCTTTTGGATGGCTGTCTCTGGCCTTGGTACTTTCTGAGTCTCTGGCCTGGCACAAACATCAAGCAAGAGAGTGATAGTGAAATCATAACGCCTAATCTACATATTTGTTTTGCATCAGTGATTCAGACAGCACTAAAGTTAGAGTATTGATAGCCAAGCAACAACTATTTTCATGACGGTATGTCAGCAATGACAGCCCACATGTTCCTTAAGACTATAATGTATTTTCAGTGAGTAAATGTTTTAGGATATATTTGCAGGATTTACTTCATATTAAAATGTCATGCCACATTTGCATTTTTACATTCTTCTTCTTC